TGAAGCGCGCACGTGTGTGTGTGTGTGTGTGTGTGTGTGCAATCTTGTGGGAATGAGCCCCTAACCTTTGAGAGCTGGCTCTATCTCCAGGTAGACAGTGTCAGAATTGAGTTAAATTATAGGAAACCCAGCTGGTGTTGCAGAGAATTGCTTGGTGTGGGTTAAAACCTCCACACATTTGGTGACTAGAAGTGAAGTGTTTTGTGTGCGTAGTAAAGGAAATTCACAGGGAAGAAAGACAAAGTAGGGGAGAATAAGGTTTTCTATACACTGGAGGAGGAAGATATTGAATTTTCCTTTACAACTAGACTAACTGAATGCTTTATAATAACATAGTTCTGGTTTAAAAGCATCAACGAATGATATGATTAACGTCTAGATGTCTGGTTTTCAAAACAGATATCAAAGAAAGAATGATATCAATCTCCTAAATTTTCCAAATCATAAAAATGTGAAAACTATCTTATACTTGAAGTGATATTGACAAATACTTTTATAGAGAGTTACATTTTTTAGTTATCTTATATTCTTATCTTATATTCATTATCTCCACTGCTCCCCATAATAGCTCATGAGTTAGTTCTGAGATTACAGAAATAAATTACAGATTATTTGTATGTGGAAACCAAGGCTACAATATATTGACATGACTTGTCCATGGTTACACAGTGATAATTGGTAGAGCAAACACTAAGCTACTCTGGGTTTATGAGAAATTTATTTGACATGTATATAAATGAGCTCAAGTTAAGTTTTTCTTCCATTTTCACAAGCAGGCTTTTTATATCAACCATCTCTCCCCATCTAGTGTGATCAATCTACAGAGTACAAGCCTATACTATAGAACACTTATTCAGTCAATCACATTTCTAAGAATTTTCTAGTAATCCCCAAATAAGGAGGACATGATGACATTAGCATTATGTTTGCAATGTTGCTCAAGAACACAGCATTCCATGTAAAGTAGAAAGCCAGTTTCCTCCTTCAAGGAAAAAAAGAAGGAAGGGATGAAGTAGAAGAAAGGAAAGGGAAAGAAAGAAAGAAGAAAGAGTCAAGGAAAAAAAGAAGGAAGGGATGAAGTAGAAGAAAGGAAAGGGAAAGAAAGAAAGAAGAAAGAGGATTTTTTCTTTTTATGAATAAGATTCAAGACATTCAATGGCAACTATAGTCAATCATGCCATAACATGGAGATGAATTTAGCTGAACATTTACTTCACATTTTGCAGATATTTTCCATCTCCATTTTTACTTATTAATATTGAAATAACTTCAGTTTAGTACCACCTGCTAATTTTATCCTAGTAACATGTATAGCCTCAAAATAATCACCAAAGGTGTTAAGGTATACCTACAAATCCCAAAATGATTAGAGTATTGCTTAAGTCCATCTGCAGGCCATGATAAAAGTTAGTTTAACTTCATAATTCACCATCTTCTTAAGTAATGGTAGCAAGTAGTGCAATAGTAGATGTGATTATTTTACAATCATCTTAGTTTGGAATGTTTCTTTTTCCTATTAAAAGAATAGGTACTATTTTTACACTGTTTCTAATAGTCTAGACTCTTCTTATTTATTTACACACTAGAGGCCCATTGCATGGATTCGTGCACTGGTGGGGGTGTGGCCTGCAGGGATCAGCCCACTGTGGGAGTGCCACTCACCCCGGTCAGCTGAGCGGCTGTGATCTCGCCCACTGAGCAGCTGTTCTGCTGCAGGAGCGCCGCTCATGTCAGTCAGCCAAGTGGCACTCCCACTGTGGGAGTACACTCACCACCAGAGGCCCGGTGCATGGATTTGTGCACTGGTGGGGGTGTGGCCTGCAGGGATCAGCCTACTGTGGGAGTGCCACTCATCCCGGTCAGCTGAGCGGCTGTGAACTCGCCCACTGAGCATATATATATATATATATATATACGCTCATGTCGGTCAACCAAGTGGCACTCCCACTGTGGGAGTACACTCACCACCAGGGGGCAGCTCCTGCATTGAGTGCCTGCCCCCTGGTGGTCAGTGTGCGTCATAGCGACTGGTCGACCGGTCATTGTGGTTGTTCCGCCATTCTGTTGCTGGGCTCATATATCTATCTATCTATCTATCTATCTATCTATCTATCTATCTATCTATCTATACTAGTAGCCCAGTGCACAAAAATTTGTGCACTCGGGGGGAGGGGTGTCCCTCAGTTCCCTCAGTTATTAAACATTTATCGGCACAACACTGACCACATTGGTGGTGGTGGTGGTCTTGTAAGAATGTGTTATATTATGCAGATGAAAATCTATTTAAACAGATTTGATGTAGATATTTTCAAAGATGGAAGAATTGTCCCTGTCAACTATTTTAGTTTATTCATATCTTCACTAATTGTCATCATTGCAAAGTTTTCAGTCCCCATATGGATTGCTGGATATAATAGGTCATGCTCTGTCCCTGTCCTTTGTAGCCTTTGTCACCTTAAGGACTCTAGTTTTCCATTTATATGTAAGTACCAACCTTACCGGCTTAAAAATGTAAGCTTTTAACACTGCTCTCTCTGTTCCATATCCTTCCGATGAAAAGTGGAGTTGGATTGCAGTACAGGAGAGAAATTCAGAAGGGGAATATTGAAGTAATGACTGCAGTAGGAGAAGAGGGAACCTATTTCCCTGGCCACAGGCGCCGGCGCCCTGGACCACAGGGCTGGCAGCTTCTCCGGGTAGCTGCAGCCTGGGACCTCGTGCGGGTGGCTTGTCCATCTCCTGGGCTGCAGCCAGCCGCAGGCACTGGTGCCTGGACCAAAGGTGGGCGGCTTGTTCTTCTGTGCTTCTAGGGATGGCAGTCAGTTATGTGTATATATGTGTGCATGCAAACATAGGCATGTACACATGTGTATGTGGAAATCTGCTGGGCAAGTCAAAACCATAGAAGAGGTGCCCCCTATCTCTTGAATCTTCCAGAGATATCCCCCACTTTTTTATTCTATCACTACTGGAGAGTCAGTATTTGCTGCCAGCCAGCCAGTGACTCTCTCAGTGTCTTTTGCTGACTTCTTCTTTCCCTGTTTGTCTTCCAACCCCTAATCATATTTCCACCTGGATGCATCATTTTTACTCCCAATATGCTGTATAGAGAAGGAGTCAGGATGCTGTCTTCCCATGACTAGTACTCAGTAACAAACCAATTGCATTTTAGTTGGGCAATGCCCCTACCCACCCTTCAAATCCCTTCCACCATGCATTTCTGTTTCCCTTTTTGTTTGTTGGATTGTTCTGCTGCTCCTTCTCCTCACCCCACCACCCTTGGATCGTAATGTAAAATTCTTTTACCATGTCAAGAAATTATTAAAAATACAGGTACTTTGAAAAAAAAATACAGGTATTTCTCTGAACACCGGCCAGGGGGTGGGCAGGGAAGAGGCAGCTGCTGGCGGCCGTCTCTTCCATGCCCCGCCCGGCTTCTCTGATCAACGATCACTGGCCAGGGGCTTCTCCCCCAGGGCCACCTTTGCCCTGCCACCCAGCTCTTGCCTGCCGCCTGGGTTTCTGATCACCGTCAGCAGCAGGCAGCTTCTTCCATCCTTCCCCTTTTGCCTCCCATCATTGTGCCTACCTATGCAAATTAATCGCCATCTTTGTTGGCAGTTAACCGCCATCTTTGTTGGCAGTTAATTTGCATATCACCCTGATTAGCCAATGGGAAGTGTAGCGAAGGTATGGTCAATTACCATGTTTGTCTATTATTAGATAGGATAGATTAGAGATGTCATTGAATTCACTAGTAAATTCTCTTCAGGTCTCAAGGTCCATATTTTCGAAGTTGAAATGTCTATACATAACCATTTTGTGAACACTTCAGCCCCTTGCCTTTTTAAATCAATAATATTGAGAACATTTTAATTACCCCCTGAATGTGCACACCTTTTTAGAATTTCCTTATTTTCCTATGGAGAACAAAATTAGCCAACTGGTTTAGTAGTTTGCTTTGCTCCAGTCTCTGAACCTGAGTTTTCTCCTCTAAGAGAGAATGGTCTTATTGACTCACTTACAAAGACCTTTTTTTAAAAAAAAAAAATCAAAGAGTGAAAGAAAATATCGAGCTCTATTAATAATTATGCAAAGATTTTAAAGGCTATATAACTGGCTTGTAAAAAGTATTTTTATGTTAAGCAGAATCACTAACATACATTGAAAAAGTGACTTTATAATGATAATCATGCATAAAAAATACAGTGATGATCAAGTTATCTAAGTGTGTCTGACTCTCAATGCTTCTTCATGCAAATAATAAAGCCACCACTTTTGTGAACTCCAGGGCAATGCCAATCCATTCAACCTTCTAAGAAGTCAATTGTTTAAATGCCCCACAATTTCAAGACTAATTCTCTGTGAAAAGACTCAAGGGATTCGGCCCACATTAACTCACTCTTGTGTGTTTACACTTTCATTTTTCTCATAGTTTTATTTTCCTGGTGTAATTGACATGTAATAAACGTAGTACATGCTTTAAAAGAAAAGCAGGTGAATAAATACCTCTAAATCCAACTAGAGAAAACTGCCTTTCATCTCAGCCTACTGGTAAAGAAATAGATTAGATCCACATTTTCTGAACTCTCTCTGTCTAAATTGATAAAACTTAGAAGGAATGTGGCATACCCAACCACAGAATATTAGTTCAGGAAAAGGAAAATAAATCTAAAAGAATAACAACCGTCAAGTAAAAACATACATGCACTCTTCAAAAGATAATAGCAAAATGAGAGAAAATAGATGAGATGGTTCCAGTTCTGGGATTCTAAATTGTTCATGATGTTTTAAATCCCCAAACATCATGAACAATTTAGCAAACATTTAGGGCATCAGAAAAGTGAAGCCATGATAACCAACAGAAGACATCACTAAGATTCTTAAACTCAGTTTTCAGAATTTTGGAAATGATTTTCTACCTTCATTTTGGACAAGACTGATTTCCAAAATATAAAGGCTGAAAAAGAATGAGAAACAAGGAACACAAAAGTACTTACAACTGATCGGACATTATTTTCTTTCACCAGCTTCAGAGACGATTTATAGCAATTTGCAAGGTCTTCTTTGTGGGAACCATTAATATGGCCTCTTGCTATTGGCCCTACGGTATGGATGACATCTGCAAATGCAAAAGGAAGACAAGACAGGGTAAGCAAGGTATTTTTCACTCTTCACTTAAATGGTGCTTTACTTATTTTGGGTATTTGTGTTGGATCCTGGAGACAAGCAAGCTAGGAAATACTGATGATGTAAATGTAAAAGATTTTAGGTAGCACAACCTCTTAAAGTAGGTAATTTCCCAGGAAGATATTGTGAAAAGGAATCCCCTACCAATAAATTATTCCATCATTATTGGTCAGATCCAAGTGAGACGAATTATAATATAAGATGTGAATTATTGGCACCATGGAACAAGATAAAACCTTGGTGGGAAATAAACTAAGAAATAACTGCCTGAAAAATGAGCATTTTGAATTGACCTGGAAAGAACCATCACTTTACTTGTAAATAAAATAATAGATGCAGGCATTGTACACAATAAAGAAAGGCAAGTTTTGGAAAATATGCCAAGATAATTTATGATCATCAGTAATAGCCCTAAAAGGAGTCATTTGAAAACATCCCTACCAATTATAGAATGCAACCTACCAATTCTCACATACATGAGATTTCCTAGGGATAAAATAGTACCTAGTTTCTATTTTTTTACTATACAGGATAGGGCAAACATAGGTTTACAGTTGTTTGTAAGGGAAATAATACAAAAAATAATAAATAATAATATAAAAACTCTGTGTTTTGCATATGCCCAACTGTAAACCTACTATGGATACACCCTGTATTAAAACTTTCAAAAAGCAATCTATACTTTTCAACCTCTATCTATATTTAAAAACATGGAATCTGATTTTTCTTTTTTGCATATAAAGACAGCCATTTTGGTAGTCTTTTAACATCTACACATACATAAACATATAACATTAGAATCATAATGAAAAAGTACTGTCCTAACATTTAGTCCATAAAGATTATTTAAAAAAAAACACACCCAAAATTTAATCTAAATTATTTGAAAATGCCTTAAAACTCTTGCTTCCCAGTCTTATCAGTTAATCTGGATTATGAGTCCATTTTATTGCTGTAACACCTAGTTAACTTTGATAAAAATAAAAATTCAGTCTATTAGCTTTGGAGTAGTAAAATGAAATGAAATTATTTTCTTTGACTAATCATACCACTGCTTAATTAAAAAAAACAACACAAAAAACGAGAATAAGAACACATTACAAAAAATGAGTAAGTGGAATAGTTTTAAATTTCACATGAAATTTAAATAGTAGAAACTAAATCACGAAGGGAAAGATCTTTGTTGATTGAATGCTAAATGTCAAGAGTAACATTTGATGTTTGGGAAAATCCCCAAAATGTTGATTATAACTTTTAACTCTGAAATAGTATTTATATCCTAATCAGATAATATTAAAGGTGACATCTTGTGATTAGAATAAGCAGAAACGTCACCAGTGAGTTCATCCAAATGTTATTTCACAGGCAAACCTGGGTTTAAAGTGAGAACCACTACAATACAAGGAAAAGATAAAGAGAGACTAGGTTGTATTTATCAGAAAAAATAAACACAAACAAAAAACACCAAAGAAACAAAAGAAAGCACACAGTGGTTTTTTTTTTTGTAATAATAATAACAAGAGTTGCATATAGAAACAATACAAATCCTATATATAGTACATTTTTATATGAATATTAGAGGCCGGGTGCATGAAATTTGTGCACGAGTGGGATCCTTAGGCCTGGCCAGTGATCAGGGCCAATCAGGTTCCCTGCCTCCTCGCCTCCCCCCATCCTCCTTCCCTTGCTGCCCATGTCTGCCACCACCCACTCCTGGTTCCCCATCCCAGTTTGGGGCCTGGCCCCGATCAGGTGATTGGGACCTGCTGGTGGGGGGAGGGACCAGGAGGTTGGCCAGCAGTCCCCAATGGAGTGATTGGGGCCTGCTGGCAGCGGGGAGGGGCCAACTGCCACTGCGGATGGCAGGTGGTGGTCCAATCAGGGCCTGCTGGCTGGGGAGAGGTGCAGGAGAAAGAACCCGGAGTTGGCTGCCAGCCCCAAGGAGGGAGCCGGCCTTCAGCCCCCCTGGGAATGGGGTCACATCCGCCGCCACCCACCCCTGTTTCCCTGTCCCAGCCCGGGGGTCGGCCCTGATCAGGCAATCAGGGCCTACTGGCTGGGGAAAGGGGCCAGGAGGTTGGCTGGCAGGCCCCATCGACGATTAGGGCTTGCAGGCTGGGGGTAGCTCCTGCATTGAGCATGTGCCCCTTGGTGGTCAGTGCACATCATAGCAACCGGGTATTCCAGTCGTTCCGTCGTAATGGTTGCTTAGGCTTTTATATATATAGATTTTACTTTAGATTCTATTTTTAAATGAACACTATACTACATGAAGAAGAAAGATTGTACTTAGCTTTACTTTATTTTTCCTTTTGTGACTACTTGCTCTTTGTGTCCACCTATCATAATTCTACAGAGCAGCATTTCCCAAAGGAGGTTCAGTAAGATATGGGTGCAAAGGCCAATTGGATTTGAAATCACTGGATGAAATTAAGTCACCCTTAGGCAGAGCCTCTCTGGGCATTTAGTAAGCTTATAGCACATTGTCAGTCTCCACATGGGGACACAGAATACTCTGTTCTTCAAATAAACTTGACTACTAAAACCCATGCTTTGCAGAACACTTCATGGAATTAGATTTCCACAAATAAGCTTTGAAAAATGTTCCAGAGAAATTTTGGCATCCTAATTGCATTGTTATAGGTGAAAGCCATGTTTTTTTTTCAGTCTTTAACCATTGCCGTTGTACATCAAACACTTAGTACATAAGAAACAACAGTGTATTACCTTGCCTTCCTTATTTCTGAATGGAGGAGATTAAGGATAAATGCCTCTTATCTGGGGTCATAAAGATGTGTCTACTTGAGCCAAGTAAAACAGGGCTTAGGGGCATGAACGGGGAGAAAAGAAGATTTCAAAAGATCAGGAAATAGTAACATCATAACCCTTTTCCTTGCTTTATTTCCTTAGCCACCATTGTCCACATAACAGAAATGAAATTTATGAAAAACTACTCCTTTCATTTCTTTAGATCGCCATTTAATTTAAAAGTCTGAGAAGACATAGGCAATAAATGAGCTTCCTCAACATCAAAATATTATCTCTATATTTCCTGCTCTATGTTAAATTTACAACATCCAGGATCAAGTAAGTGTTAACCAACACAATGATGTCTCAGATCCACAAAGCTGGAGGTGAATCCGTGTGAGGTTCAGAAGGAAATTTTCTTCATCATTTTAATTGTTCCTAGTACTTGTGAGCAACTCTTCCACACTGAGGAGCTGCTTTATTTTCTGCTATAAAATTCAGCCAGGATGAATGGATAAAAAAACATGACCCATACATCTGCTGTCTACAAGAGACCCACCTCATTAGAAGGGACTCACACAGACTGAAAGTGAAGGGATGGAAGAATATCTTTCAGGCAAATGGAAAGGAAAAGAATGCTGGGGTAGCAATACTTATATCGGACAAAATACATCTCAAAGTGAAGGCCATAACAAAAGATAAGGAAGGCCACTTCATAATACTAAAGGGATCAATACAACAAGAGGATATAATCCTGATAAACATATATGCACCCAATGCAGGAGCACCCACATACATAAGAAAACTTTTGGAAGATATCAGGGGAGAGATCGACAACAATACAATCATAGTAGGGGACTTTAATACACCACTGACATCACTGGATAAATCCGCTAGACAAACAATCAGCAAAGAAACAGCAATCCTAAATGACTCACTAGATCAGATGGACTTAATAGACATCTTCAGAACACTTCACCCCAAAGCCATGGAATATACATTCCTCTCAGGTGCTCATGGGACATATTCAAAAATAGACCACATATTGGGTCACAAGCAAAGTCTCCACAAATTCAAGAAGATTGAAATCATAAAAAGCATCTTCTCAGACCACGATGGCATAATGTTAGAAATAAACTACAATAAAAACAACCCAAAATACTCAAACACTTGGAAGCTGAATAGCATGTTATTAAATATTGATTGGGTTACCAATGAAATCAAAGAAGAAATTAAAAACATCCTGGACACTAATGACAATGAAAACACAACAATCCAAAACCTCTGGGACACAATGAAAGCAGTCCTGAGAGGAAAGTTTATAGCTCTACAGGCCTATCTCAAAAAACAAGAAAAAATGGTAGTTAATCATCTAACTCTACAACTCAAAGAATTAGAAAGAGAGCAACAAGAAAACCCCAGAGTGAGCAGAAAGAAGGAGATAATAAAGATTAGAGCAGAAATCAATGAAATAGAGACCAAAAAAACAATACAGAAAATCAATGAAACCAAGAGCTGGTTCTTTGAAAGGATAAACAAGATTGACAAACCCCTAGCCAGGCTCACCAAGAAGCAAAGAGTGAGGTCCCAAATAAACCAAATCAGAAACGATAGAGGCGAAATAACAACAGACCCCACAGAAATACAAATGATTGTTAAACAATACTACGGACAACTCTACACCAACAAACTAGACAACCTGGAGGAAATGGACAAATTCCTAGAAAAATACAACATTCCAAAACTCAATCAGGAAGAATCTAAAAATCTCAATAGGCCAATAACTATGGAAGAAATTGAAGCAGTCATCAAAAAGCTTCCAGCAAACAAAAGCCCAGGACCAGACGGCTTCTCAGGGGAATTTTACCAAACTTTCAAGGAAGAACTAAAACCTATCCTCCTCAAATTACTAAAAAAATTCAAGAGGAAGGAACACTTCCAAGCACATTCTATGAAGCTAGCATCACCCTAATACCAAAACCAGGTAAAGACATCACAATGAAAGAGAATTACAGGCCAATATCCCTCATGAACATAGATGCCAAAATCCTCAACAAAATCTTAGCAAATCGGATCCAGCAGTACATCAGAAGGATCATACACCATGACCAAGTAGGATTTATCCCAGGGATGCAAGGATGGTACAATATCCATAAATCAATAAACATAATACATCACATAAAC